ACCAGCACGGATCAGCTCCAGGCATGACGAAGCAGATATCGTCCTCTTTTGGAAGACCAAACAAAGTAGTTTCGCTTTCACAACGAAACACACAGCGCCTTCACGACATGGTGGCGGCAACAATACTACAGCAAGAATAAAAGTTACGCCTTCTATCTTTGTGTGAACATTTGGGCGGCGTTATGCAAATCTTCCCACATAGTGATGTAGACATGTGGGGGCGTGTTAGAACGAGCCGTTTTAGGGGGGCGTGGCTGACTCTTAACTTTTATAAAGAATATCTCTTTGGATTTGAGACTTTAGTCTTTGCAACTTTACAGATCTTCTTTATGCACCAAGAGCTTGTAACACTCCAAAGAGAAAGGAACAATTGAAATCGCATCATATGACCCCTTTAAAATGTGTAACACACTAATCATGTTTACTTCTAACCAACCATCAAAACATAAAAATGACATTCAGAATATTTTGTTCAAAAAGTTAGCATTAATAGGACTGGACATAAATAAAATAAATAAATAAATTGCAAAAAATATATATAATAAAAATAAATAAAATTGAAAATAAATAAAAATATTCATAAATTAAATGTTAATAAATAATATTTAAAAAATTTTAATTTTTAAAATGTAAAATGTTAAATATATGAATTAAATATAAATACATTTAAAATAAAAAGAGTAAAATAAATTAATAACATTTAAAATAATTAACATTTCAAATAAATAATTAAGTAATATTTAAAATAATTAAATAAATAACATTTAAAATAAATAAATACAAATTAAAAAATAATAACATTTCAAATAAATAATGTAAATTTTATATATATAAATAAAGAACTAAATATCTTTTTTTCCTATTTCATTTTAAAAACTCAAATCCCATCACATTTCATTTACTCTGGCAGAAAGACTGAAAATGTGCTATTGGTCCATTACAGTTGTTCCAGATCTGTCCGACTCATTTATTCAAAGTCTTCTGCTAACCAGCGCTATAGCCAGCGTTTAACCACTACACCACAGCACAGGCCCAGTGTCTCATCCGTATACTGAAGAAACTCCAGACTCTAAACTGCTACAGCAGGAAAATCTTATTTCACTTGTGTTTCTCAGCACAACAGCAAGCATCCAATTTAGCGTCGCAGCCGGAGCGAAATGACTCTCGCGCATCAATCTCAGGAGAAGCGGGAAGGTTTTGGCTCGGCTTGAACTGTGACACTTATTCCCGACGCCTTGATTGAGAGGAACCCCCCGATGCATGCTTAAAACATTCACACGTTCCCTCGCCTCACTGCTGAATTATGAACTTCACCAGAAAACAATGCATTATAAGGGGCCTTACAAGGCATCATTAATGCATTCAAAAAATATATATAAATAAAATAATATATATATATATAGGCACAATTCATGCATTAAAATTAAAACATAAAATATAATATTAGATTATTAAATATGAAATGAAAAACTTATTTTATATAAAAAAGTTTTATATAAAATATTTTATTTAGGCCTATTTTATATAGGCACAATTAATGCATTAAATTGAAACAATAAAATATAATATTAGATGATAAAATATTAGATGAAAAATGTAGGCATAATTAATGCATACAAATTAAAAAAATAAAATCTAATATTGGATGATAAAATATTAGATGAAAACCACAATTAATTCATTAAAATTAAAAAATAAAATATATATATAGGCACAATCAATGCATTAAATTGAAACAATAAAATATAATATTAGATGGTAAAATATTAGATGAAAAATGTAGGCATAATTAATGCATTAAAAGTAAAAAATAAAATGTAATATTAGATGATAAAAGATTTTTATAATGTATTAAATATAAAGGCTATAAAGTAACGCATTTGATGTTTCATATGCAGTAATGTGGAGTGAGACTGATGCATTCTGTTAGAAACGAGCGAGGCTTTGACCTTTGACCTTTCAGAGTCTTACCGTATGTCGTCGTCTGTGACGGTGAAGGCTTTGCAGAGCGGCTGCGATGTGTTCAGCCATATGCTCGGGTTCTTCTCGACCGCCGAGGACGTCTGACCCGTGATGGGCGCCGAGCTCATGTGCAGAGCGCTAGCGATGGCCGACAGAAGCGTCTCGTCCGTCGAGTCGGGGCCGATACCTGCGCCACAGCACCCATGTTAGCCAGCGATCGCAAACGCATTCAAACCAGACCCAACCAGCCTTACTCTGTAAACCTCTGGGCAGATCCATCGTCCTGAGCGCTTCCTCCGACACGTCCGACGAGCGCAAGCCCTTCAGACGCTTCTCCCAGAACAGCTGCACACACACCACACACAAGAACACTCGTGAGATTCAGACCACACTTCAGATTACCGTTAACTCAAGCTAATTACACTCCTTTTTGTTAATTGAAATAAAGCTGAAATAAAATCAATTCAATTTAAATAAAATAAAATATTATATGAGAAAAAACTTAAACTTACAATAGAGATGAAATAGAAACACTGAAATAAGTTATGCTGTTGAAGTTTATGCTGTACTACTAAAATGACTGAAACTGAAATAAAACAAATTACAACTGAAATTAATAAAAATATTTTTTGTTAATTCAAAAGCAGAAATAAAATGAAATAAAATACATTTAAACAAAAAAATTCAATTTAAATAAAATAAAATATTATATTAGATAAAAACGTAAACTTAAAATAGAGATAAAAATAGAAAAAATGAAATAAAATAAGTTTAATGTTGAAGTACTAAAATTACTGAAACTGAAATAAAACAAATTACAACTAAAATGAATAAAAAACATTTTTGATAATTAAAATAAAGCAGAAATAAAATACATTTTAAAAAAATAAATTACATTTAAATAGATTATTATATTAGATAAAAACTAAAACTTACAATAGCGATAAAAATAGAAAAATGAAATAAAATAATTTGAAGTTCTACAATTACTAAAACTGAAATAAAACAAATTACAACAACAACAAAAAATACAACAAAATAGAAACAATAAAAAAATTACAAAAGCACACAATTTAAACCTAAACTAAAATTCAAAGGAAAACTAAAAATATAAAACTAAAGGCTAATTCAAAACTAATTAATAAATGTTAAAGTTGAAGTACCAAAAGTTCTTAGATTAAACTGAAATAAAAATAAAGCTAAAGTAAAATGACAAAAGCACACAAAATTATTACAATTAAAACTGAAAACAAAAATAAAAGCTAATTCAAAAACGAATTTATAATTAATAATAAAAATAAAAATACTATATATATATTATATTACTATATTATAATATACTATGTTATTATTATACAGATATAATAAATACTATAAAATAAATACTTTATAAATAATACTCAAGTCAAACAACTCTGAATCAACATGCCTGCTAATGAGTCAATGATGAATGCTAAAGAAGTAAACGCATTCCTCTAGAGTCCTGCACTAACATTAACATTATGCTCAAGGCTTTTAATGAGTCTAATCAGCCAAAGCGTCTGAATCAGGGCCGAGTGATAGTAAAGCTCAAATGTTGTGCTGAAAGCGCAGCACGTCACACAATCTGAGAATTAAACACAGAAGCTTCATTCGGCCCGGAGGAGCGTCGGTGTGTTTGCTGCTCAGACATCAGCGGTGGCCCGCGGGACACATGAACCGCAACAACCGCTCATAAACACAGCAGGAGTTATTAAGTAAAGCTCGTCCATGAGCGCCGCGGGGCCTGTAGAGCTAAATCCTCCCTCGTTACTGGAATATATGAGACGGAGGAAAGAGCCAGCGGCTGCAACGGCTTCATTTACATCCACACACTCCTGAAGAACAAATCCACCCTCAGCTATCAGAGCCGTGACCCTAATACTCCAGCGGCTGCTTAGTGGCCACCAGGGGGCCCCCAAGAGAAATTACGACTTGGTTACAGTATATATTATATCAGCAGTAAGGATGTAACGATTAACCGCGAGCCAGTTGAAAATCGATTATGTGACGATTCAAATCGGTTGAGATGCTAAACAAATCACGATTCATTTAGCTGTAGAAGTTTATATGCATGCATGTCTGAGGGGAACTTACGGTCTTTAGAAAAGTTTAGATGGTATTTTTTCTTTTCATCTTGCCTCTGTATAATGCATATTAAAGTTCATAAGCTGCTTTGTTTACAGCGGTAACCAAGGAAACGCTGTATCACTGCTGTTCATAAGCGCAGCGCTGCTTTGTTTACAGCGGAAACCAAGGAAACGCTGTATCACTGCTGTTCATAAGCGCAGCGCTGCTTTGTTTACAGCGGAAACCAAGGAAACGCTGTATCACTGCTGTTCATAAGCGCGGCGCTGCTTTGTTTACAGCGGAAACCAAGGAAACACTGTATCACTGCTGTTCAT